CTATAAACTGCCTTGGTACTCCTATTACTCAGTAGATGTTGCAGTTACATTGTTCGCAGTTGTTTTGATAATCACTTTCTCCATAATTTTTACAGTTAGATATATGTGTGTCAAGTGCTGCAGCAGAAAAAGGAAAACTGAGTGACACGTTTCCATATGAAGTAGATTATTCTTGCATGTATGTCCCACTCATGCTCATGTAATGAGCAGCACACTGAACTTGGTACAACAATTAATAATGACATGTAGAATCTGGCCCGAAAACTAAATATCCTGACCTTTTCGAGTCAGACCCAACATAATGTCATTATTAATCATTGTACCAAATGTTGTTCATTACATAAGTAGTAAAGAATGGGTCATATATGCACTTATAGTCAAACTGCTAAATTAATAAATGTAAATGTCTCTTTTAGTAAGCAGGTATGGTAACTCTATTGCAAAAGAATCAGAAATGTATCAAAATGTCAGACAATTCAGACTTTTGAATTGTGCTTTCCTATGTACTAATTTTGTTTTTTCTAAAATGTTTTTTTGTATCTGAATTTGCTTAATAGTGATCCCTTTTTATAGAAAAGCAATACTTATTGCAGAATATATTTACATTACTCAAATAATAATAACATTCACTATACTGAAAATAATGTGGTATGATGCAGTGGTGTTTCCTAATTAATATTTGCCATAATAATAGCCATTTTACCCTGACTTTTAATCCTGTAAATTTCAACCTCAGACATTTTGAATGTTAAAAAATGAGACATGACATAATAAAAGAAACATGACATGAAAATAAACGTATCAATTCAAATATATGTTGTGCAGTGACTAAACCCACTTGAATCAACATCTGTATAATTATTATACTGTACATGCAGTTTTCTTCTGTTATTAATTGAGGGAGACATTTTAAAAATGTTTTTAATTGGTCACTTTTTAAACTAAGATGGTGATATTTGGAGAAAGGTTTATGTTAGCTGTAAACTACTTAAGTGCGGCAAACTCAAAGCTGCTAAATTTAAACATTAACCTGACCTGTTGTTAGTAATCAGTTTTACCTCACAATGATATATGCCTGCTATTTCATCAGCACCCTGGACAAACATTTAGACTTTAATAGTAAGAGAAGAGATAAAAGTTTAATTATATCATAGTTTAAAGGAGTGATTCTAACCTGAACCTGGATTTTACATTGAACATGGAGTGGTGACCCAACACGGTTTCAAAATTGTTTATTGAAGTAAAACAACAACAACAATTAAACTCACAATTTTTCATGAAATTTATAAATTCATTTATTATTGATTCTAAATATCTAAATTGTGATGCTATTGTCAGCCAATAATTTAAAATATGTTGTTGACACAAATTATGGAGCTATGTTGGACATGTAAATACAGTGTTTTGGAGCATACATGTTTCTATCAATCACTAAGAAAAAACAGTCAATAAATTTAAACAATCGAACCTTTGCAGGTGTTTTGAGTTGATTAGCTGATTGGCATGTCACCATATTCTAATTTGTTGAGATAGTGAATTGGTGGGTTTTTGTTCAATGTGAGCCAAAATCATCACAATTAAAAGAACCAAAGACTTAAACTACTTCAGTCTGTGTGCATTGAATTTATTTAATACACGAGTTTCACAATTTGAGTTGAATTACTGAAATAAATTAACTTTTCCACGACATTCTAATTTATTGAGATGCACCTGTATATTCTATGTCTATGTTAAATAATCTTTTCAGAAATCATAAAAAACATTGAGACACAAAGAAACACTGCATGCATTCAGGGCTAGGCTTTCACAGAAAAATCTTCTATTGGCTAGACCAGTTTTGTCACTTCCAAAAGAAAAAGAAAGAAAAGCCATTCTAGGAAGTATGTGTGTTTTCAGTACTTTGCACTTTTAGAATAAACTTCTAAATGTCTATTCAGACGTTTCTATGTAACAGAAGACATACTTTACCGAGGTGCTTCTAATTAAGAGCTAGAAAGCAGTTGCAAATGTTTTACAAAATATACATACAGTACTCGTCTCTGCACATACAATGTGCAACACTTTATGTTTTACCACCAAATTATATGTAATATTTAATTCATTTCACTTACATAGGCTTAGCCTCAAACAACACTCTGTGCAATATCATTAGAGATGTGGATTAGAGGTGTGGATTTAGTGTGCCTCAAGGGCACTGAGCTTTGACATTTTTCAGACCTGGGACAGTCTTGCACACTTATTTCCTGTCATGTGCATCTCAAGTGGCCAAGACCACAAGTGTGGGTATTGGGACAGGCTCACTTGTGTAATGTTATTCTATGATCTATATCAACTCCAATACATTTTGGATGCATCTGCTTAATTAGCAACAAATTATGTGAATGTGATATTTTAATAATAATTTGTATTTGTTCATGTAGATTGCCTGTCCACTATGAGAAGTGAGAATTGTCAGCTCTTGATAGCTCTTATCCGGTTCTTTCTCTGGCTGCAGCCGCCTACTCTCGTCTACATTCAAGACGAGGTGTTTGTCATCTCAAACAAGCTTATTGTGTTCTGTCTGGTGAAGCTGGTTGCTTGGCTTCAACAGAATTTACCCTTCTGTAGTGTTACACTGTTTAAGAAAAATTTTGGCACTTGGAATGTAAAATCTGCTGTGTATAGCAGAAAACATTTTATTTTAACATTTTTACTTCTACAGTTGATGTTTTGTTTTTTTTTACTAAAAGTTCAAGACAAAAATAGAAGAAGTAAAATACTGATCAAATAAATGTTTCAAATGATATAGTTACAAAAAATAACAATATTGTTTTATGTACCTAAACAAGAGCATTTCCTAAATACTGTGGTCACTAAAATTACATAACATGTTCCAATATTTGAATTGCATGTACATATTTCATAAACACTTACTTAAAATACAACATAAAATTCTCATAAATAGGCGGTAAGAATGAAGTTGTGAAAGGCATAAAAAGTTAAGAAGATGTGTGAGTATATGGAACCTACAAAAAGAAGATGCAATGACAGACAATAAGAAAAAAAGAGTTTAAGCACCTATTTAAAGAGTGGTAACACATCAACAGATATATGGACAAATAAAGAAATAAATAACTGTCTAAATATACATTCTTTTCATTTAAAAAATCTCTTACCCTTAGATGAAGCCAGTGACTTGTCAAGTGAATTTGCTAGTGAGAAGCAAGCGTCACAAACTGGATGGTGACTAACAGAGTTAACCCTTGAAACACAATGCAATGTCATATGTTAAAATAAATGAATTATTAAAGACAAGAGCTGAGAAAAAAATCTAAATATGTCTACTCTGCATAATTACTAATGTGTTTCAAGTTATAGAATTATGTGATTGTTAATCAAATAAAATAGTTTTTACTTTTAGCAGGGATGTACTCAATAGGTAGCACTGGGCCATTTTTTGTTGCATGTTGAACAAGTGGGGTTTAAGAAGCTTTGTACAATGGTAAACCAGTTGACTTTAATGACAACTATTATGTGTACTGGTATACTGCTATTACTTAGTAGATGTTACAGTTACATTGTAATGCCAGAATAGCTTATAGTGATAATATAAATTGAATAGTAATTTGATTTATCAAACTGTGTGCAAAACTCATAATTAAAAGATTAGTTCACCCAAAACTGATTTGCTGAAAATGTTACTCACCCTCAGGCCGTCCAAGATGTAGATGAGTTTGTCCATCTACATCAGGGGTCTCCAAACTCAGTCCTGGAGGGCTGGTGTCCTGCAGAGTTTTACTCCAACCCTAATCAAGCACACCTGAACCAGCTAATCAAGGTCTTACTAGGCATACTAAAAACTTCCAGGCAGGTATGTTGAGGCAAGTTGGAACTAAACTCTGCAGGACACCGGCCCTCCAGGACCGAGTTTGGAGACCCCTGATCTACATCATCAGATTTGATGAAATTTTGGTGAAGTCACTTGCTCAACAATGAATCCTCTGCAGTGAATAGGTGCCATCAGAATGAGAGTTCAAAAAGCTGATAAAAACATCACAATAATCCACAAGTAATCCACATGACTACATTCCATCAATTAATGTCTTGTGTGTCTGTAAGAAATAAATCCATCATTAAGGCATTTTTACTTTAAACCGTCGCTTCTGGTCCATAATCCATAATAACGCTTCCTCCAGTGAAATAGTCCACCCCCTGATGTCCTCTCACATCAAAATCCAGTGATATATTTGTTTAAAACTGTTATGGGTGTTTTTTGCTTGTAAACATTGCATAGTATTTATCTACATCTGTGCATATTTCTCTCCTGATTTCAACCAGACAGCTCTTCACTGGAGAGAGCAATATGATATATGTAAATAGAGGACTTGTATTTCAGTCAGAACCAATGGTTTGAAATTAAAAGTGCCTTGATGATAAAAATGTTTATTAACACAAATGAGCTTTTCTTTCACATCACTAGACTTGGACTGGAGTCATGTGGATTACTTGTCCAATGAAGTAACAAAATCATCTATCGCTTCAAAATCATATTCCAGGTGTCAAGACCTCTTTCCAGGAGTCCCACCAATGTGTTCCAGGGGGCGGGGGATTTCGCTTCAACCAGCAGACTGAAAAAACAGCCCATGGCAGCAGTATAAAAGTAGCCCAATTCCACAGGAAAACCATGGACTTCGCAACACTATAATTAGCTGCTTGTTAGTGCTAGTAGGTTGCAGGTGGTATGAGGAAGAGGGGCATTCTTATTCCAGAGTGCATTTGACTGGACAAAACATTTTTATATGACCTTGGGTGCAAGATGAGTAATCTAGGAAACATATAACTTTTAGGAGTACACTAGCATATACATATTCATAAAGCACAATAACTTTAATACAATATTGTTTATTGTAAATGTTATTGTAATGAAATCAGCATACAACGATTAAGTGATGCAGCATGTTAAAGCATAAATGACAGCGCTCAATTGCCACAAGTTGCATAGATGTTTTGAAGACTGCAGGAATAAATATAATAATAATGCAAAAACTTTATCCAAGCTAAAGATTTTTCAATGTTATACATTCATGTGTTTTAGCTGGTACTTCCAGCATAGCTGGGAACAATGATGTTGGCCCATTTATAGATAACAGGAATGAAAAGCAGAGCAGAGCCGAGCAGTGATACTAAGAGAAACACCCACAGGAAAACACGGTCCAGAACCTGGGCCACAAACTTCCAGTCCTGAACAACCTAAAAGAAGGCATTACATAAGAATTTATTAGAACTCAAAGCTTATTAAGTCTGAAAGTCTAAAGTAAGACAATAACAATCTTACCTCTCTGACTTCATTCTCTTTCACCACATGAAGCGTGATGTAGCGTATAGAGTCTAAGGCTGTCCGCAGACTATGTTCTGCATTGAGCAGAGGAGTGGTATCCTGGCCCGAACTCTTCCCATAGCCCAGCCCTTCTTTTCCACTCCTCGCAGCGGTGGTGGCATAGCGGTCCACATGGCTGCGCATGCAGAGCAGTTTAGGCAGGTGATGCAGAAAGATACGGCGGACCCAGGGCGCCATGCTGTGATGAGTAGATGAGGAGCGATGATGGATGTTAATGGCAAAGACAGTGATGACAATGGAAAGCGTCACGAAGATCATAGTGAAGACCAGATATTCTCCAATGAGAGGAATCACCTGGGATAGAAAACATAAGAGCAGAGCAAAAAACATTAAGTCATTTGAAAATGAGAATGAAAGAATGAAAATAATCATAATCCTCACTGGAAATAAATAATTTTGATATGCGTTTAAAAAAACAAAAGAAAAAATTAATTGTAATAATATAAGATTATGTTTGTTAATTTAATACATTAAAGGGACAGTTAACCGAAAATTTAAAATACTGTCACCTTCATGTCGTTACAAACCTATAGTTCTTTTAGGGTTAATCTTCCTAAAAAAATTTGACATATTTTTAATGAAACCTGAAAGGTTTCTGTCTCTCCACTGAAAGTCCAGGTAACCAAAACTTAGAAGACCCCAGAAAAGAAAGCCATAAAGTCGTTTCATTAAAATATCTTATTTTGTGTTTTGAAGATTAACCAAAGTCTTATGGGTCTGAAACGACAATAGGGTGACTAAATGATAATGAAATTGTGTTTTTTGTTTTTTTTTGGGGGGGGGGGGGGGGTTATTATCCCTTTAAGTTAATATGGAAACTTTGCTAGCCCAAAAACATTATTTTTTAAAATAATTTATTTTCTTCTCAAAATTCTGTGAAAATATGGATTATAACATAGATATAGATACATATCATATGTACTATTCCATATATTCAGAAGCGTTACATATATGGTTTAATCTGGATGCATTGCAGTTTGACTTTTTGACATCTAGAAGTGAATGGCATAATCTGCTACCACTATTGCAGAATGACATAAGGGCCCTCAAAGTAAATATAGAAAATCACTGCAATGCATAAATGAATGAACTTACATTTGTGGTAAAACTTTAATCACACAAACAAACAATAGCTGAAAAATACTGCAATTTTATTGCTGACAATAATGTGAAATAATTCAAAAATGTGTGTGGCACATAGACTTACAGCACAAAACACAGTATAAATCACTTAATATAGCTTTGATTTCTTAAAAAGAGTAGCACCTTTGAGGAGGAAGGGATGATCTCTTCTATCACCAGAAGGAAGACAGTAAGAGAGACGAGGACAGACGTGCAGAGGGAGATTTTCTCCCCTCCGTTAGATGGGAGATAAAACACCAGCACGGTCAGGAAAGACAGTCCAATACAGGGGATGATGAGGAAGAGTGTGTAGAAAAGAGGAAGACGTCGGATAATAAAGGAGTAAGTGATGGATGGATAGAAAAACGTCCCATCACTTCTCGAACCCCGGCTACCCGTGGCCGTCACAATCTCCCATTCACCATTGTCAAAATAGTCACGTTTGTCCACATGTACATCCTCAAGGAGAATGTCCACCTTAAAAAAAGAAACAATATGCAGTTGCTGCATACATTTCCATATAAACACGAAAAGCTATTGCTTCAGATGACTTAGAATATACAGTATGAGTCATTTTAGTTACTTTTCTTATGCTTGATTAAAGTGGTCACTATGAACTGACGATAGCTAATTATTAAAGGTCAAATTTAGGTAAATTTTTAGGTAATTTTTTCTTTCTCGATGTAAACATTGGTTTTTCATGCCTTTAATAAGAGTTACAAACTTTACAGCATACCTGGGAACCATCGTAGGTCCAGGAGCCAAATTTCATGGAGCAGTTCTGAAGGTCAAAGGGGAAGAACGTCACATCAATGGTGCAGGCAGATTTATAGCTGGCAGGAGGGGTCCAGGAGATAGTGCCGTCATATCTCACCACTGCTTTTGTCACTGTGGCCTCGAAATTACCATCTGCACTACAGATGAGAATCACTCATCAAGCTGAGATACAGGCAGGGTCCAAAATGAACATTCTCAAATAGTCCAATTAAAGTAAATATGGTCTTTCTTACTCAGAGTAGTATTTCATATCACAAAAGTCAAGATTTTTGTACTTTCACAAGCATGGCAGGAAGTTGGAAACATTGGGAAATAAATATTCACCTATAGAAATTATAATGGCTCGCTAAGCCATTTTCACAGGGGTCGAGCACAAAGGATTTGACTCGTAAAACCGTAAATTTGCAGTGTAACAGTTTACTTTTCATTTGTCAGGTTACAAAAATATAAGTCAAACTTAAGAACTATTTAGACTTGATCAGGCTTCAAATTAAATATTTTTCAAGATTTTAACGATTTCAACGCTCAACAGACTGTCTAGTACCATACTCTTTTCTTCTTCTTCAGATTCAAAAAGGGATTTTATGATCATAGTTACAGTATTATGTATGAAATAAGTAAGTCGTGTTATGCAGTATATGTACACATAATACCACTCTTAATATCCATACAAAAATATTATAAGCATCTCTATGTTATTTATTGTTCTAACAGAAATGTTAAACGTCATGTTCAGTCCTTTCTTACTCATACAGTTGGCACTGAGTGGCACCACATACTTGTCATAGAGCACAATGTCAGGAAGCCAGATGGAGTCTGAGGGAACTCTGATGGAGGTGATGCCCAGATAATTATCCGGATTCCATCGGAGCTTCATGTCTGTCCACTCCTGAAAGCAGAGAGACATGGATTTATGCGCAAAGCTGATCCCCACACAAATAAAAAGTAAAGAAAGCAATGTGTGTCTGTTGTGTACCAATGACCAAATACTACCAGGACAGAACACAATGACAAGAGCAAAATAAAGGTAGAATAAAAATAATTAATATTTCATATTAATCAGATAAACCTTAATGGATTTTCCTGTTTACCTGCTTAATCCAAACATTGGTCGTCATCAGCTGGTTCTTCTCATTCTGAAAAAAAGTTCTAATATTATAGCCATGTTATTCTATTAACCTTCATGTTCTGTTAAAATTGATTTTATATCTTCTTAATGTTTGGTGTCCCAAATACATCAATGTTGTATGTGATTATATTAGTGATGATTTATACCATTATTACCCCTTTATCCTCTAACCTAACCCTAACCTTCCTGACCCCAAACAGAATACAATGGTTAACAATAAATGTGAAATTCCTAACCTACTGATGATAGAGATTCTCCTAATGTATATTACTTAAATATGATGTTTACTGTAAGACAAGATTTTGCCTAGATGAAGAAAATGCTGTTTCAGCATCACTAGTTCTCACCACATCCACGAGCTGGGAGATAGCCAGGCCAAATTTCACCTGCACCGTTCCATTTAGTTCCTCCACTGGTCTCACCCATTTCTGGTAGTTGCTGAAGAGATGTTTAAGCAGCTTGTCTTCTGACTTGGCATAAGAAGACAGCACAGGAGGCCCTTAAGCAAAACAACAACTTCACATTAATCTATCACATTCAATCAGGAGGGACTGGGACATTAAACAACAGTAATTAGATGGCAACAGTCCCAGACACAAGAACCACACAGGTTTATAGAAGTTGTGACAATTTCGTTGACATTTTTCCAATGATCATATTGATCTCACAATCAACAACTCACCCAAGACATATTGGATTTACCTGATAGAGTTTGGGCTCCTTGCCACTGTTGCCTTTATTTTGCTTAGTTATGATTTAAAAGAGACTTAGGGCCAGCTTTAATAACAGTTTGCATCAATGCAAACCCTCTTTTGGCACTAAAAAAAATCTCCTGTGAGGATTGAAAAATAAGACAGGGAAAAATAAGCAATGAAAAGACATGGGCAGTTGTTTTGTGGCTGACTGTATTGCATATGCATTTGTCGGAAGTTCCCTTTCAGATGCAAAATTTATGGGAGGAGATTATTTAAATAGTCAAATGACTGGTATTTATGCTATTATTTAATACCCAAAAAAACATATCTTTAAATATTTTGCACTTGACATGCCAGCGATAGTTGTTCATTTGTGCTGCTCTTGGTAGATTTCATTGGTCCTGTGGAAATGAGATGGCTGCATCTGTGTTCTTTAATTTGCACATTGTCAGAACTTTACACTCCCATCAAAGCTTTTATGGAATTGCAGTCTCATTCTAATTTGCCCTGTTATCTGGTAAATCTGGCCCATAATATTAGTTATACCAGTAATATTATTGATTTGACTGCACTGACACTATTGATTGAGAACAAAACTTGAGCTGAACTGAGTTTGATAAATCTGCTTCATAGCTGAATCGAATTTGTTTCATGATTAATGAATTTTGCAACATCGACACTGTTATTGAACTAAACTGAATCAACATTGAACTGACTTGACCTCAGTAACAACACTATTGCTTTCTATAGAGCTTCTTATAACTGAATTGAAATTGAACAGAACTGACTTGGACTGCTGTCTATTTTGAGCTGTTTTACAGCAGAATTTGAATTTGTCTGACATTTTGAAGAAGTTTGCATCATTTATTCTGTTAATTTCCTGTTTATTACTGTGAAACTGCTTTGAAACAATATGTATTAAAGTGCTATATATTTATATTGGTAACTATACTGAACAAAATTATAAACGCAACACTTTTGTTTTTGCCCCCATTTTTCATGAGCTTAACTCAAAGGTCTAAGACTTTTTCTATTTACACAAAAGGCCTATTTCTCTCAAATATTGTTCACAAATCTCTCTAAATCTATGTTAGTGAGCACTTCTCCTTTGCCGAGATAATCCATCCACCTCACAAGTGTGGCATATCAAGATGCTGATTAGACAGCATAATTATTGCATAATTATTGATTTTAAGTATTAATCAAATCAATGCATTAAGTGTCGAAAACGCCGCGGGTGGTGTGATTCGGTACAGCCGGGAATTTTTGCTCCAGTGCAACAAACATGTTGAGCTCACATCGCATCACTGTATACCGGATGACTTGAAATCTTCACAAGGTTAGGATACTCGGAGTAAAAGGAAACGGAGACGTGAGAAGAGAGGCAGGAGTCGGCAGAGACTTAAAAAGATGGGAAATAAATTACCCTTGCCCACGACTTTACTGATCAATGCCCAGTCCCTGAGGGGGAAAAGGGAAGAACTAACAGCAAATCTACGCTATTTGCATGAATATAGGAACGCATGTGTGCTGGCAATCATAGAAACATGGTTAAATGAGAACGTTCCTTCAAGTGAGGTTGAACCAACTGGCTTCACAGTTTTTTGAATGGATCGAAACTCGGATATCACAGCAAAGTCACGCGGTGGTGGAGTGTGCCTGCTCATTAAGGAAAACTGGTGTAGCTCAGTGGTGGTGAGAGAATCTCTCTGTACTCCTGATATTGAACTATGGAGTGTTTCACTAAGACCCTTTTACCTTCCTCTGGAGTTTCCACAGTTGTTTTTTACCGTGGTTTATATACATCCTCAGGCAAATTCAGCTAAAGTCTCAGATGTGTTATATCAACTTGCACAAAGACTGGATTCTTTGTCTCCTGATGCGCCAAAATTTATTTTAGGAGATTTTAATAACTGTTCTTTAAAAAACAGTTTGAGGACTTATTATCAGTATGTGAACGTTTGCACTAGGAAAAATAAGATACTGGACAAGTGTTATGGCAACGTCAAAGATGCTTTTTCCGCCTCCACGCTGCCACCACTGGGAGGATCTGATCATAACGTTGTTAATCTTCACCCTAAATATCAAAGACTTCTTGAAAGGGAGAAACCTCAGGTAAAGACTGTTAAGATTTGGAATGAAGAGAGTATTATGTGCCTTCAGGGTTGTTTTGAGTCTACCTTGTGGGAAACTTTTGACTGTCTAGATCTGGATACTCATACAATTCTGGTTTCAGATTATATAAATTTTTGTGTGGAGTCAGTTATACCAACAAAAACATATAAAATATTTCCCAACAACAAGCCATGGGTATCAAATAAATTAAAACAACTATTAAATAAGAAGAAGGTAGCTTATTATAATCATGATATTTTAGCTAAAAGGGATATTCAAAAAGAAATTAAAAGGCAAATTAAGGTAGATAAGGCCTTATATAAACAAAAAATTGAAGCTAAAATGTCACAGGGAAACTCTAACCAGGTCTGGGAAGGAATTAGAAAGATGATAAGTGTTCCACATAAGAGGAAAGGAAAACATAAATATGACCATTAATGATGAAAAAGATGGAGATTTTAAACTAGCAAGTACATTAAATCTTTTTTTCTCCCGTTTTGAGGGAAATGGAGAAGAAAGAAAGAAAAATTAATCAACGATTCTGACATCTGCAAATATACTTGTTATCAAAGAGGTTGATGTCAGAAAAATGTTTCAGAAGTGTAATATACATAAGAGCCCCGGGCCAGATAATATCAGCGGTCAGGTGTTAAAATTGTGTGCTGAGCAATTATCTACAGTTTTTACTTTGCTGTTTCAAAAATCACTTGACCAGCATGCAGTGCCAATTATATGGAAAACTTCAACTATAGTACCTGTTCCTAAAATTAACAAACCATTAGAGCTTAGTGATTATCGACCAATTGCATTAACCTCTGTTGTGTTTAAATGTTGTGAAAGGCTTGTTAAAAGGTACATAGTGGAAAAAACACAGCATTTACTGGATTCTTTTCAATTTGCTTATCAGTCAAATAAGGGAGTAGATGATGCAATTTTAACATTGTTACATATTGTTTATTCACATCCTGAGGGTCCTAAAAATCATGTGAAAATTCTTTTTGCAGATTTTTTCTTCTGCTTTTAATAATATTGTGCCATCTGTTCTGGTCGATGAAAAAGATGGAGATTTTAAACTAGCAAGTACATTAAATCTTTTTTTCTCCCGTTTTGAGGGAAATGGAGAAGAAAGAAAGAAAAATTAATCAACGATTCTGACATCTGCAAATATACTTGTTATCAAAGAGGTTGATGTCAGAAAAATGTTTCAGAAGTGTAATATACATAAGAGCCCCGGGCCAGATAATATCAGCGGTCAGGTGTTAAAATCATGTGCTGAGCAATTATCTACAGTTTTTACTTTGCTGTTTCAAAAATCACTTGACCAGCATGCAATGCCAATTATATGGAAAACTTCAACTATAGTACCTGTTCCTAAAATTAACAAACCATTAGAGCTTAGTGATTATTGACCAATTGCATTAACCTCTGTTGTGTTTAAATGTTGTGAAAGACTTGTTAAAAGGTACATAGTGGAAAAAACACAGCATTTACTGGATTCTTTTCAATTTGCTTATCAGTCAAATAAGGGAGTAGATGATGCAATTTTAACATTGTTACATATTGTTTATTCACATCCTGAGGGTCCTAAAAATCATGTGAAAATTCTTTTTGCAGATTTTTTCTTCTGCTTTTAATAATATTGTGCCATCTGTTCTGGTCGAAAGATTATCTGTAGATTTCTCTCTAGATGGAGGAGTGATTTTGTGGTTGCAGGATTTTTTAAGTAACAGAGTTCAACGAGTGTGTGTGGGTACCTCATTATCTGACAAACAAATCGCGAATATTGGTTCCCCACAAGGTTGTGTCCTCTCACCCTTACTGTTTATTATGTACACAAATCATTGTAGGAGTACTTGCCCAGCGAGATATTTAATAAAATTTGCAGCTGATACTGCATTGGTTAGTCTCCTTAGAAGGGATGAGGACAGTCATGGACACATTTTAACTGAATTAGTTTTTTGGTGTGATGCATCAAATCTCAAGTTAAATGTTTCAAAAACTAAAGAAATGTGTATTGATTTTAGGAAAGAGTCCTCAACGAGTGCAACCATTATTAAAGGGGACCAGATTCAGAGGGTAGAAGAATATAAATACCTTGGAGTTGTTTTAGATCACAAACTGAGGTGGGATAAATGGACTGACGCTGTGAACAAAAAGGGCCAGCAAAGATTATATTTCCTTAGAAAGATGGTGTCATTTAGCGTAAGCCCTCCATTGTTAAATATGTTTTATAACTCTTTTATTGAAAGTGTACTGACTTTTTGTATTACTTGCTGGTTTGGGAATGTTATTGTGGAACAAAAGAGTATGTTCAGGAAAATTATAAGTACTGCGAGTAAATTACTTGGTATCCCTGTGATGGGTTTACAACAAATTTATCAGACTAGATGTCTTGGTAAAGCTATGAAAATTATATCTGATGATAGGCACCCACTGTATAATGAATTTGAGCTTTTGCCTTCGGGTAGAAGATTCAGGATACTGGTGTTTTTTTTAAATTAGAGGGAAAAAATATTTTATAACACAGGCAGTGAAGCTCTTAAATGAAAGATAGGAAAGAAAGAGGGGTTTTTTTCTCTCTTCTCTCTTTCCTCTCCCCTTTTATTTTTATGTAATGAGCAGTACAACATCAGAATGAGACCATTCAGTAATTAGCACGTCTTGATTAATTGATGTTACATTTGTATTGTGTCTATTTTGAAATTGATGTTGTACTGTCGTTTGTGAGAACCGCATATTGAAACAAGACACTGAAACAAAATGTCCCTAAGGGGATAAATAAAGTTAAAGTTTTTGATATGCCACACCTGTGAGGTGGATGGATTATCTCGGCAAAGGAGAAGTGCTCACTAACACAGATTTAGACAGATTTGTAAACAATATTTGAGAGAAATAGGCCTTTTGTGTACATAGAAAAAGTCTTAGATCTTTGAGTTCAGCTCATGAAAAATGGGGGCAAAAACAAAAGTGTTGCGTTTATAATTTTGTTCAGTGTAGATTTGAATTTTGTCATTGACAAATTCAAAACAACAGAATTTATTCTTACTGGAATGATGGAATATCACTGAATATCAGAGCTTGGGCCTTTCAAAACTGCCATAAAAAATTACTTCTGTTTGTAATTGAATGATGCATTTTATATAGCGCTTTATTGTGTATTGTTGTACACCCAAAGCGCTTTACAATCATGTGGGGGGGATTTCTCCTCAACCAGTCATCTGACAAGGCTCAACCCTGCTTAGCTTTAGTAGGCAACCAGTCTTGGGCTGCAGGGTGATATGGCTGTGTAATGTGCAGCATATACTTGATCAACTCCAATAAAGCTCATTTGGCATTGTTATTGGATCTCCAGCATCTGCTGCTATCATGCCAACATCCTGTGTGATCACATTTTCCTTTCAGAGTCTCCACAGTCTGAGTCACTAAGGGAAACCCAACATGATTAGCTGAACACGTGTTCATTTCTGTGGGGGCAGGTAGAGTTAAGAATGGAGATTTATGAATCTCTGAGTGTGAAATTGGTTTAGATCATCTGGGTTGTTACCATCACTGGTGGGAGGGATGTTCTTTAATGTGAAATGTCATACACTATAGCTCTGTTCCAAAACCCAGTGAGCTGTCTGCTGCCTACATATGTGGTTACATCTAATGAAAGCTTCCTAACTTAAATGGAACTTTAGAAGGGACTGATTTATATATGCAGTTAACTCTATAATTGATAGCAGAAGCACAGTTGATTTTCAAAGGAGTTTGATGTAAGAATGTTGTTAAAATAACAATACTATTCCATATGCATTTTTTTGTTTTTTCACATTTTCTGCACTAATTTTGGGTAAGTGGATTTTGTAAAAATATGTTGAATTGTATGCAATAAATATGTATATATGTATTTTTACAATGCACATAAACCTGTTTTGACTCTAAACTGCATATAAAAATAATCTATAATTCAGTTTTTTGGATGTCTGAAGCTGGATGTAATATAAAACAGAATCAGTCATCTAGCCTCACCGAGACTGATGATTTGACCCCGAAGCCATAAAAAACTGAATGTCATTTTTCTAATTTCTGTCTAAAATTGAGGTTGTTAGTCACTGGTACTGCATTTATCCTATAAGAAGTGTGGCATGACCCAAATAGCATACATTGATTGCATTCTGTGCCTATTATTCAGCTCCATGTTTAGATATTGATTGGATTTTGCAATTTTAGCTACGCCCCAAAGCTCCGTCTCTTTGCTTATAAATCTTGAAGTTCTTTGACTGTTCATTTCACAGACAACCGCAGACGGTATTCTGGTTTCAGCTTGTTTTCCCATTGATCAATATGTGGTTGTGGTCTGGTCTCCCTTAATCAATACAAGACTGATTAGAAAATGCTTTAATCCTCAGGTCACACTGTTTCAGCAGACATGTAAGAGAGCTGTTGGAAATAATAATTAGATAAAGAGATGTGAGTCACAGATGGACAAGTGAGTGAATCACAGGTCACATTTCATCCCAAAATAATACTAAAAATATTATTATATTATATTATATTATATTACATAATATTATATTACATTATATTATATTACATTATATTATTATAACACTTTACAGTAAGGTTACAGTACAGTAACCTTTACAGTAACATAGTTAACTACTTTAGTTAACATGAACAATACATCTACAGCATTTATTAATCAAAGTTAATGTTAATTTCAACATTTACTAATGCATTATTAAAATCAAAAGTTGTGCTTGGTAACATGAGTTAATGCACTGTGAAGTAACTAACAATGAACTGTATTTTCATTAACTAACATTAACAAAGAATAAATACTGTAATAAATGCATTGTTCATTGTGTGTTCATGCTAGTTAATACATTAGCATTAACTAATGGAACCTTTTTTGTTAAGTGTAACCTATTATATTATATTATATTATATTATATTATATTATATTATATCTGGAATACTCTATTTCGATTCGTCAATTGCAGGAACTCCCTTGTTTTACTTTTAATTTTAGTGTAATATAGTTGTGGTGTTCATCTACTACATTGCAGTAGACTATTTTTTTTTCTTAGCAAAAACTTTAATATAATATACAACTACTGTATTACCAGGATTTTTATTTTATTTACACATGCAATTTAAATCAATATTTCACATCCACATATTTATTTACTTAGCCATGTAATAAGTGGTATAATAAGATAATGTAAATCAGTTGGCCATTATCACAAAATAAAGAATGTGTTTTTTAATGAATGGTTGAAATGATAATGGTGCAACCTGCTGTGTGACTAAAAAATCCCCACCACCAGGCACGTGCAGAGGGGGGTGCCATGGGTGCTTGAGCACCTGCCCCTTTCCCCTTGATGCCCAAAGTGCCCTTTTGTCAAGGCAATTTATTTTTATTTATTTTTTTGTAATTAAACGCCATTTTGTGAAGGCCTACCCAATCTAACTATTAGTCAAATTAATGAATTATAATTTAGTCGTAAATAAAATTATCCACATGATGACCTTTCACCTGACGATCTCATCAGGGATTAAGGTGCGTTCAAGTCATGTAGGATAGATCGTATTTACGAGTTGAATGCACATGAACGCCACCACAAAGTCGTTATTACGAGTGGGAAACTCAAAATTTTCTTTAAGCCCTGAGTTTCCGAGTTGGGGGCGTGTCAATGAAAAACATGGCGGAATCGATGGATGCAATGTCTGTAGTTGACGGTAAATTTTTGTTTAAATTGATAGTTTTGATTAAGTTTTTATGCGATACAGATTAAAGTGGCTTCATAAATTACTTTTTAAAAATATTAAAAACGCAAAGCACACCTGATGCAAATTCTTTGCTCTTCATTTTCTATAAGCAGAGTTAACAGACCCTGTTGTATTTTCTTGTAATTTATTAAAATAAGGTACACCGCCATCTTGTGCTGACTAAACTGACTTGAACGCACCTGACGTCATAATTACAACTTGTCAAATCGTAAGTACGAACGTCCCAGGAGGACTTGAACGCAGCATTATCCCTCACGTTCAGACACCTTTAATGTAGCGCACTACCAGGATGCCTTCTTAACGTCCGCGGCTGCCGGTAAGAGGAGTTCTCTGCGGAGCTGTGTGCTTGTATACTTATATTATTAAATTATTATTAATATACAAGAACTGCGTGAAGAGAGCATGCACAGCTGTTGTTTATATTGCTGTTTGTAGCCAGTGGAAGTAAGTTTAGCTGCAGCACGGGGCTATAATATTTTTGTTCAATATTTTCCTAATGACAATTTTATGATCGGTTTATAAAGGCTACTACGAGCACCTTTTCCCCATTTTTATCACAGAATAAGGCAGGGAATTTATAGTTTATATAGGCTACTAAATGATATGTCAATCAGTACTGCATTATTCATAAAGTTTATTTATTACCTGGAGATAACTTGAAAAACACACATAAACTGTATATTTTCACAATCGTGTTTATTGTCTTCACGTTTTTTCCTGCTTTTTATTCAGCTCTGCTACAGCAATAGCCGGATGCTTTTGTCCATATTAGGGTTTCCTGCACGTCATAAGTCATTCCTTCTATGAGTCTGTTTTGGACTTTCTGCACAGAGCGCCCTCCAGCTTCGAGTATGAATTAAACATACACTGCATGAGAGTGTTGAGCGCTCCAGATATTCACTTCTCATTTTGGATACGAATATAACATCAGGTCATGCATAGACTATCCATACTGTCTCTTTGAATTTAATTCTAGAAACCTCTATGTGAACACACCTGCCCGAATAAAGTGCGGGGGACAAAAAAAATGAATAAATTCAGAACAGGATTATAATATAATTCTATTTTAAATAAGACAGAAATATTTTTTCTACAACAACAACAGTAGTGTTTACAACAGCAAAACCACCATACCCTGTAAACTCAATAATAATTATAGGCCTAATTTAATTCCATTTCTATTTTCAGAGTGATTAAGAAATATTTATTTAACTTTTAAACTTAAAATGGTCTTTTCTGTTCTGTGTTTCTTTTTCAAAACTGCGTCACGGCATTTGCTGCTATCAATACAGAAGCATCCGTTTCGATGCATGTCTCAGCAAGGAGCGCAGCCCTATTAAAAGCCGTGCTCCATGTGCCCCCTTTATACTTTGAGCACCTGCCCCTCCAAAGGTCTCTGCACGGCCCTGCCCACCACTGAGGGAAAAAAATACTGTATTTATATTTTGAAGAATGGTGGTAAGTAAACAATTTTAGTGATCATTGACTTCCATTGCATGGACAAAACAACGTTCCAAATTCAGCACTTTTTAACTTTTTTATTATAGGTATTTTTTAAAGGTCCTAAAATAATTATATAAATTATTTATGTATATAAATTACAATTGCTTTCTTTTTGTTTTAGATTGAATTATGACCTGGGCATGTTCTTGACAGGTTTCATGAGATTTCACCCAGCCACATATGTTAGATAGGGCATTGAGCCAAGGTCAGAGGCACTCACCTATAGAGGAGCAGAGGACAGCACAGCAAACAAGCGGGAGGAGAGATCTGACAGCGCTTTGAGCTGTTACCATGGTACCATCAGGAGCAGCAAAGCCACAGAGAAGACCTGGAAGCAGCCATAAACATGCATGCATTTTATTACGCACAAATATAGTCCGAGCTGTTATTAAAGACTCACAAGCTTGCTAGCAATTAAGCATACATGTGATATGCAGTAAAGACCTGCATGCTGTGTCTTTTGCATCTTTCATGTATGTGCAGATGACCACAAATATATCTATTCATATACATACCATGCTATGTGGTAATCTATAGGAATATCACCATGTTCTGCATCATGCACATGAATAGACCTTTACACAAGCACACAAAGCATGCATCTATCCACCTGTCTGTTGAGATTACACACATTCATCAGTCTGCAAACAACCAGTGGCCCTCTTTCTATTTATCACCATTTTTCTTTCTTCGTCATTTTCTTTTCCTTACCTGATTATGGACTGGAAGAAAGCGGAATCTTTAGAATTTTTATTTTCCATTTGCCTGTCGTGTGTCCATGCCAACCAGCTTATGTTATGCTTAATTTAATTTAATTTAATTTATAAATATGAATTAAATTTTTCACACCAAAAATAATACTAATAATAATTGGTAGACCCCTGCAGTAAAACCCTGACCCTTTTTCAGGGACCTCTGATTTGACTGCATCTGATTTATGCCTAGGGAAAGATGACCTTCTACGTGTGTGTGTGTGTGTGTGTGTGTGTGTGTGTGTGTGTGACATGGAAGCAGGTTTGCCAGTGTAATTTAATACACATCCTGTTTGTTTGTGTGGTTATAAATAACACTGACCAGTGAAGATGAATAGCACACGAGCTCCAGACATGTTACGATTAGGAATCATGAGTAACTGTTAATCTGTTAATCCCAGGTTTTATTTAGTACAGTGGTGAGAATAACAAAAAATCAGACATCGTCCAAACAGAGAATTCCATCACAGCTTAGTAGTAATGACTTCATGAATTTCTTCATGAAGAAAATCTAAATTATCAGAAAAACAATTGTAGGCATGGAACTTTTGGAAGCGTCTTATGATTCAGTCTCATATAATGCCCCCCAAAAACAATTGCAATGCTTTATAACTATAGGACAGGAAGAGCTAAAAAAAAAAATCTAAACCAATAACATGTTTTGTATGGTAGTTGTATACCCACTAAATTAATATAGGAAGTGTTACCTGTAGCAAGATAACCTAATGACAACATTTTTAAAGGGATAGTTCACCCAAAAATGAAAATTCTATCATTATTTACTCACCCTCATGTCATTCCAAACCCGTAAGACCTTCATTCATCTTCTGAACACAAATTAAGTTCCCTTTCAAGGGAACTTCGAACTGCATCCTCTAGGGGTCGCTATGGGGAACGCCTCGTCAAGACCCGTGTCTGAAGCATACATTGAAAAAACACCAACAACACGTTGGCCGGCAACATCCATGACGTCACTACCGGTGCTACTATAGTATAAACAGGCAACGGGAGAACACATCATCCTCTTCTTCGTCTTCACTAACTGTTTTGTTTGAAGCGTGCATTTCTGTGGTAAGAGCGATCTCTATTCATATCATTATGGCGAGCACTAGCAAAGCGTTTAGAGGATGTGTGCATCCATGTCATCGTTATTTGACATCTGATGACACACACGATCTATAGAGGATGTGTGCATCCGTGTCATCGTTATTTGACATCTGATGACACACACGATCTATACGTTGTTTGTTTGGGCGAAGAGCACGCACGCAATGTCCTCAAGGGGGCAATCGGTGTGCACTGCGAGCGTTTTCCAATGAAAAAGCTCTGCTCTCGTTTGTCTCTCTTTTCGAGGAAAGAGGGGCAGCCATCTGCTTCCCGCAATTCAGGACCCGCTGCTGCTGAGGCATGGAGGAGAATGAGCTCGTGAGGATCGCAGGTGGATCTGGCCGATGAGTTTAAAGAGGGGTTTTCCCTCTCACGATCGTCGGCTGTGGACGAGAGTGAGCCGCTGAAGGATGATGTTATTTCATTAGCATCGTCTGATCCAGGGGCCAGTGCTCTGCTGGGTTCAGCCCAAGAAGAGCAGGAAATGTCTGAGGAGGGCAAAGAAGCTGAGGCTGAGCCTTTCCAATCCTCCTGCTCTGCGTATGATGAGCTTTGGAAGTTATGGATCGCGCCACGGCGAGGCTTGACTTGCCGGGGAAGCGGGCAAAGAAAGTGCCGTCACGAGGTCGTCTCGATGAGCGTGATCTTTCTGGCCATAACCCTCCAGCTGAGGTGAGCCTTCCTTTTCTTCCTGATCTCCATACAGAGATCGAGAAGGAATTGAAGAGGCCATTTTCCTCACGCATCCATCGATTCCAGCATACGAGTTATGCCAACATCGAGGCGATGCGCGAAAATGGCTATGAGAAGATGCCCCCTATAGAGAGACGCTGACCAGCTATCTCTCTATGGGTGAGATGCCCTCTCTTAAGACTCCCTCCTTGCCATCTAAGCCCCTTCAGGATACATCTCGCTTGAATGGCAGGGCATATGCAGCAGCAGCAAGTCAGGCTGTCGCTTCATTACACACGATGGCGGCGCTCCAGGCATATCAGGCTGACCTGCTGAAAGACCTGGAAAAAGGCAAGGGCCTTTCTCCTGATGAGGTAGCTGAGTTGCGCCGCACCACGGATCTCGCTCTCAGTGCTATTAAGAAGGCCGCCTCTGCTATGGGCAGGTCCATGGCGGCTATGGTAGAGACATCTGTGGGTGAACCTGGCAGATATCGGGAAGAAAGAGAGGGTCTTCCGAACTTTTTGGTACCTCCGTTGATACTGTGGTCAAGAAGTTCAGGGAGGCGAAGGCACGCTAAGCGGCCTTCAAATCCTTCATTCCACGAAGGTCCAGGTCTGAGCCCGAACAACCCAGGGGTCCTGGCCCGTCTCGGTTTGAGGATCAGAGACGGGCACAGAAAGCTAGTGTTGCGGCTCATGCTCCTCCCCCGCCTGCGGTTTGGGGTAGGAGGAATTGCGGGTCAAAGGGAGGTAGGCAAGACCTAAGGGATGTGATCCAGACAAGGCGTCAGCACTTTCGTCCGGATCAGAGTGATACTTCAGTATCTACTCATTTCCTTCGGGGGTTTTACACCTGCCCCATTTACATTTTAATTCCCCTGTAAACCACCATCTCTCCACCTGACCGAGGTTAGGTTGGAACTTCCTGCATTTCAGTCTCCTATGCTGGGCCTATGATGTTTGGTTGGTTCTATGGCTTCATAGTGACCACCTTACTGATGGTCCGAACTAGAGGCTCCTTCGGGTCGCTTCTTGAACGGGGCTCCGGCGTGGGAACCATGGTGGGTGAGTACGATCCATTTCTAAATATATATGTGTATA